CATATATGCTATTATGTTAACACTAACATACTGTGAATATAGTGTTAATTGAATAAAAGTTCTATTTTGTAATTCCTCATCGCAGTGGCACTGTTTTTTTCCAGGTCACACTATTCCTGATACAGGCGGGGATATATATCGACCTTCACCACAAGGACATCGTGTTCGCCATCGCCTCCCTTAGCTTCATCATCGACTCGGGGTTGTATTTCTTGATGAATAAGAGGTATAGAGAGAATATTCGAAGGATATGTTGTCGTGGTAGACCTGGAGACCCCTTAGAGGGAGAAGAGTTTGTTAGTGGTTAGATGTCAACGTTGCTGTGATGCACGTGGTGATAGTGGGGACATGTTACATGCAGTGGGGACATCGTCACAGTGTTGGTGTTACAGGTAGTGGGGTGGTAGTCAAGTTGACAGTGGTTGCAGTAGGGACATCGTCACAGTGTTAGTGTTACATATAGTGGGGTGGTAGTCAAGTTGATAGTGGTTGCAGTGGGGACATCGTCACAGTGTTGTTGTTACATGTAGTGGGGTGGTAGTCAAGTTGACAGTGGTTGCAGTAGGGACATCGTCACAGTGTTAGTGTTACATATAGTGGGGTGGTAGTCAAGTTGGTAGTGGTTGCAGTGGGGACATCGTCACAGTGTAAGTGTTACATGTAGTGGGGTGGTAGTCAAGTTGGTAGTGGTTGCAGTGGGGACATCGTCACAGTGTTAGTGTTACATGTAGTGGGGTGGTAGTCAAGTTGACAGTGGTTGCAGTGGGGACATCGTCACAGTGTTAGTGTTGGTGTTACATGTAGTGGGGTGGTAGTCAAGTTGACAGTGGTTGCAGTGGGGACATCGTCACAGTGTTGGTGTTACATGTAGTGGGGTGGTAGTCAAGTTGACAGTGGTTGCAGTGGGGACATCGTCACAGTGTTGGTGTTACATGTGGTGGGGTGGTAGTCAAGTTGACAGTGGTTGCAGTGGGGACATCGTCACAGTGTTAGTGTTACATGTGGTGGGGTGGTAGTCAAGTTGATAGTGGTTGCAGTGGGGACATCGTCACAGTGTTAGTGTTGGTGTTACATGTAGTGGGGTGGTAGTCAAGTTGATAGTGGTTGCAGTGGGGACATCGTCACAGTGTAAGTGTTACATGTAGTGGGGTGGTAGTCAAGTTGGTAGTGGTTGCAGTGGGGACATCGTCACAGTGTTAGTGTTACATGTAGTGGGGTGGTAGTCAAGTTGGTAGTGGTTGCAGTGGGGACATCGTCACAGTGTTAGTGTTACATGTAGTGGGGTGGTAGTCAAGTTGATAGTGGTTGCAGTGGGGACATCGTCACAGTGTTAGTGTTAGTGTTACATGTAGTGGGGTGGTAGTCAAGTTGATAGTGGTTGCAGTGGGGACATCGTCACAGTGTTAGTGTTAGTGTTACATGTGGTGGGGTGGTAGTCAAGTTGATAGTGGTTGCAGTGGGGACATCGTCACAGTGTTAGTGTTGGTGTTACATGTGGTGGGGTGGTAGTCAAGTTGATAGTGGTTGCAGTGGGGACATCGTCACAGTGTTAGTGTTAGTGTTACATGTAGTGGGGTGGTAGTCAAGTTGGTAGTGGTTGCAGTGGGGACATCGTCACAGTGTTAGTGTTGGTGTTACATGTGGTGGGGTGGTAGTCAAGTTGACAGTGGTTGCAGTGGGGACATCGTCACAGTGTTAGTGTTACATGTGGTGGGGTGGTAGTCAAGTTGATAGTGGTTGCAGTGGGGACATCGTCACAGTGTTAGTGTTAGTGTTACATGTGGTGGGGTGGTAGTCAAGTTGATAGTGGTTGCAGTGGGGACATCGTCACAGTGTTAGTGTTGGTGTTACATGTGGTGGGGTGGTAGTCAAGTTGATAGTGGTTGCAGTGGGGACATCGTCACAGTGTTAGTGTTAGTGTTACATGTAGTGGGGTGGTAGTCAAGTTGGTAGTGGTTGCAGTGGGGACATCGTCACAGTGTTAGTGTTGGTGTTACATGTGGTGGGGTGGTAGTCAAGTTGACAGTGGTTGCAGTGGGGACATCGTCACAGTGTTAGTGTTACATGTGGTGGGGTGGTAGTCAAGTTGATAGTGGTTGCAGTGGGGACATCGTCACAGTGTTAGTGTTGGTGTTACATGTAGTGGGGTGGTAGTCAAGTTGACAGTGGTTGCAGTGGGGACATCGTCACAGTGTTAGTGTTACATGTAGTGGGGTGGTAGTCAAGTTGGTAGTGGTTGCAGTGGGGACATCGTCACAGTGTTAGTGTTGGTGTTACATGTGGTGGGGTGGTAGTCAAGTTGACAGTGGTTGCAGTGGGGACATCGTCACAGTGTTAGTGTTACATGTGGTGGGGTGGTAGTCAAGTTGATAGTGGTTGCAGTGGGGACATCGTCACAGTGTTAGTGTTGGTGTTACATGTAGTGGGGTGGTAGTCAAGTTGACAGTGGTTGCAGTGGGGACATCGTCACAGTGTTAGTGTTACATGTAGTGGGGTGGTAGTCAAGTTGGTAGTGGTTGCAGTGGGGACATCGTCACAGTGTTAGTGTTGGTGTTACATGTAGTGGGGTGGTAGTCAAGTTGACAGTGGTTGCAGTGGGGACATCGTCACAGTGTTAGTGTTACATGTGGTGGGGTGGTAGTCAAGTTGGTAGTGGTTGCAGTGGGGACATCGTCACAGTGTTAGTGTTGGTGTTACATGTAGTGGGGTGGTAGTCAAGTTGACAGTGGTTGCAGTGGGGACATCATCACAGTGACAGTGTTAGTGAGTGAGTGAGTATGGTTTTACGCCGCTTTTAGCAATATTCCAGCAATATCACGGCGGGGGACACCAGAAATGGGCTTCACACATTGTACCCATGTCGGGAATCGAACCCGGGTCTTCGGCGTGACGAGCGAACGCTTTAACCACTAGGCTACCCGACCGCCCCCGACAGTGTTAGTGTTACATGTAGTGGGGTGGTAGTCAAGTTGATAGTGGTTGCAGTGGGGACGATTCTCACAGTGTTAGTGTTGTTGTCACGTGTAGTGGGGTGGTAGTCAAGTTGATAGTGGTTGCAGTGGGGACATCGTCACAGTGACAGTGTTGTTGTTACATGTAGTGGGGTGGTAGTCAAGTTGACAGTGGTTGCAGTGGGGACATCATCACAGTGACAGTGTTAGTGAGTGAGTGAGTATGGTTTTACGCCGCTTTTAGCAATATTCCAGCAATATCACGGCGGGGGACACCAGAAATGGGCTTCACACATTGTACCCATGTCGGGAATCGAACCCGGGTCTTCGGCGTGACGAGCGAACGCTTTAACCACTAGGCTACCCGACCGCCCCCGACAGTGTTAGTGTTACATGTAGTGGGGTGGTAGTCAAGTTGATAGTGGTTGCAGTGGGGACGATTCTCACAGTGTTAGTGTTGTTGTCACGTGTAGTGGGGTGGTAGTCAAGTTGATAGTGGTTGCAGTGGGGACATCGTCACAGTGACAGTGTTGTTGTTACGTGTATTTGGGTGGTAGTCAAGTTGATAGTGGTTGCAGTGGGGACGACTCTCACAGCGACAGTGTTGTTGTTACGTGTAGTTGGGTGGTAGTCAAGTTGATAGTGGTCGAGTGGGGACATCGTCACAGCATTAGCGTTGTTGTTACGTGGTGAAGTGGGGTGGTAGTCAAGTTGATAGTGGTTGCAGTGGGGACGATCCGCTCAGTGTTAGTGTTGACCGTAGTGTTACAAAACTGTTCAGTGTTTTGAGATGTGGCAAAAATTTGGACTGTCTTTGACATACGATTATATTTGTACATAAATGTATGTGGTACTACAGGACAACAGGTCTTTGAAAATGGAGCTTTATCCGAGGCGTGACATTTCGTGGCCGGAGTTAGCGTTTTCGTTATGAAAGATGTTAAATAGAGTGAGTGAGTGAGTGAGTGAGGTTTTACGCCGCCTTTAGCAGTATTCCGTCAGGGGACATCAGGATTGGGTTTCACACATTGTACCCATCTGGCCCATGGGGAAATCGAATTCGGGTCTTCGGCGAGAATATTAAATAGAAATGTCAAAAAAATATACAGCTTTTATTAGGCAGTGTGGAACGAGGGTACACTGGAAATGACGTATAAGCTGGAAAAGAAAGAAATTAGAAGCCGAAAGAACAGTAACTCGGGTCGTCAGGCTGGCTGACTTGGTTGATGCATGTCATCGTATCCTAATAGATCCATGCTCATGATGTCAATCACTGGATTGTCTTGTCTAGGCTAGTGTTGAGTGCGGCGTTAAACAACAAACAAACAACATTACGCATCGCGTTATGAGCTTTGGTCAACCGTACGAAGAGTAAAGTGTCAATTTTGATTTATAAAATATATAATGATATAATACCACCATTTCTTAAAGACCTCATATCCCGCAATGCTGGATCACAGAACATGTATTCTCTTCGAATTGCTGAACATTCAACGTCCGCTTACAAAATAAGAACGTTCTTATTAATTCATATTTGTTTCCTTCGACATGACTGAGAAGGTTGAATAATAATACACTACATGACATATAAAGTTAGAGAGCAACTCTTAAAACATATATTTCGATTGCGCATAAATATATTGTTTATTCAACCAAAATTTGACCAGCCAATCAAATTATGATTCATACAGAATAAGCATTATTGGAAATTTAATTATGTCTTAAGGGGCGGTTGTGTAGTCTAGTTGTTAAAGCGTTCGCCTGTCAAGCCGAAGCCCCGGTTTCGATTCCCGACATGGGTACAATGTGTGAAGCCCATTTCTCGTGTCCCCTGCCGTGATATTGCTGGAATATTGCTAAAAGCGGCGTAAAACCATACTCACTTACTCACTGTGAAACAGCTGTTGATAACTATATGATTTTGTCAATATCCCGACTTGGTCCGGTTGATCATGTTGATGGTCCGGTTTTTATGAGCGGAAGCGGAAGCCCTTCGGTTTATGTAAATGAGGAGGAAAATGGCGGGAATAAAAGACATCGAGACCAAACACGAGTGTTAGAGAGATTTATTCAACATTGTAAACGTGTCACAAAAGTACAGATTGACAGCTGTGTGATAGACGTTACATCACTCTTGAGTGTAATGACGTTGTTGAACAAAGGATGACGTAACATGATTTGGTAATTGTGGACAATTCACAACAGCACATGGTTAAAATATTCATTTTCCCATAACGCAGACCGCATCCTCCCTTATTTGTCCAGAGTGCTTCGAATCAAATTGCTGTAAGTTGCATTTGTTGAACGCTCCAGTGCAGCGCCATACTAACATATCGCGTATCGCCGCGATGTAACACATGCCGATACACACCTGTCACACAAACCGAGGGTGAACTACTTACTTTCAACATTTAACTTAAAACGTTAATGTCACTGGTACGATCAATATTAAAGCCAACTATCTACACCAACCATTGAGTTCAAATGCTAATGTAACACCAGTACCATCAAAACCAAAGCAAACTATTCATAGACATCACTGAATCAAATACCAACTTACAATCGCGAATTATCGTGAATGTTTGAAATAGGAATGACCACGCCTTGATTTACGGAGAACATAAATGAAAACATGTACTAGGCAAATTCGTCACCACTCGCCCCTTTCCATAATCTGCATGAATACTCATCCCCCTATTTATGAAGGTTATTTGCGAAAATACGACAAACCAATCAGAATGCACGTATGACTTCAAGCATTTTGGGCAAACAATCCGTCGGGAATAATTTTAGAACTTTACACATGTCTTGCATCTAAAATTTACCCTTGATACAGTAAAACGTGTTAAGTCAAACTGTATAAAAACTGTAAGTCCCAATGTCTTTTAATAAGCAACTAGAAAATATATGACTTGCAAGGAAATATGGAGTTGACAATGCTTTTAACTATGCCCGTTTACCCTTAGACGCAACCCAGTCGTAAAAATGACCACGAAAGGGGCACGAGTCACTATTCGTCTTGTAACGGAATAACATGAGTTGGTCACGAATATTGATAGGCCCAAGAAAAAAATCCATTCGTAACCACTCGTCTGTTTCCGTAACCTGCAAGAAGACTCGACCTCAATAAATCAATGATATGTGCTTAAACACGACAAAGCAGTCAGAATGCGCTTATGACGCCAAAGAACACCATCTGAACGAGAACGACCTGGACATGGCGGTAGCTTCCATACTTTAACACAGACTTACGGTAGTCGTAGCGCTAAGATCGCTTTGTATAGCGGGCCCCAGGAAAGTAAATCATTAAGGCGATCGTGATCCTTGGATTCAAAAGTACGCATGTCTTCAATTACAACAGCTTTGGGCTTAAACCAATGACTAGTAAGGCACATGTTATCTCAAGATGCAGTAACCACCAAATTCACATTTTGGACGGTTCTTGTGTGCTTGGGTTTTCTCTGACCTGGAATGCCTAATTTAAGCACACGCTGGCGTATAACTAATGATCGATGAAAACGGGCGAGGTTTACCAAAGAAATGACGTCATCGCATCGTGAAGACACTTCTCAAATACATTGGTCTTAAAAAAAACAACCCACGTCACCCAAATGTCCTTATGTCACTGCGTACCATGTAAATCTCATGACAACCTGTTCGCTCCATGCCAAATACTGACTTGTATTTAGCGTCCATATTTTTATTTGTAAGGAATATCCTAAAACCTGCATTGTAGAAGTCTCTCAGCAGCTCCAGACCTTTCAAGTACTTGTCTATGTCCGGCTCCGGATGACTGTTCAGCTTGACGTGAATCTCAAAACAAAACTGTTTCACATTTTTCAGAGCTCCACTTTTTAACATTTCAGGAAATGCCCACCATTCCGAATAGTCAATATCAATCTTCAGTAGATCGATCACAGCCTGAAAGATAACGGATACTGCTGAATAGAGAACAAAACAAGCTCATTTCGTTGCAATTAATGGTTGCGTCAGTTGGTGAAAAGTGATTCATATACAATAGGAAGATATATCAACTATTCGAGAAATCATTATCGTCAAAACATAATTATCCCGCAAACGATATGAATGCTTATTTCAGGAGAAAAACAGGGTCAGAATGCAGTGGACTGAGACTCTATATCCTTGATAGACAACGGTATAAGGATCTATACCGAAACGTCGCTTTTTATAGTATTAAAGAAGTTGTTATCCCTATAATTGTGTCTACCTTGTAATATAACTGTTTAATTTGTGACTAGAGTTAGTGTGAAGCTTTCACGCCAATGACGGAAAGAAGCTATTGGTAACACATGGCGAGGAGATATACTTTGATGTGCACTGACCATCCCCAAAGATCATCGTTCCATTGGAATGCTATCAGTTTTTAAATCCCTCTTGTAAAATAGTTGATTTGAATAACACTACATACATCTACATGTATTTCAAATATGTGATCATATGATTTCAAGAGTGGCTTAGCGGGAGAATAATGAACACACGGATAACAATTAAGGATTGCATTCATAAGCACCCCACTAGTGACAAAACATGGGGTATCCGAATTCTTTACACTTGAACAAAATAATGCCACGACACAGTAGCTGTCACAGATAAGTAGTCAACAGTATAAACATTTGCATCATCATTGATATCCAATGTTACGCATAATATTAAGGTTAAGTGAGAGAGTTTGGGTTTAACGCCGCTTTTAACAATATTCCAGTTATATCACGGCGTTACAGCTTAATTTTGGAAGAGAGTCTGAAGTGATGCAGTGACCTTGTCACCAGGAGGGACGTTTTAAATCGGTGATTGGAAATGTCTGCCATAGGATTTGTGAAAATTGTACTTCTGCATACGATAATAAATAAGACATATATTTCAAAGAACTAACGTCCTAATCGACAAGGGGCGGTCGGGTAGCCTAGTGGTTAAAACGTTCGCTCGTCACGCCGAAGACCCGGTTTCGATTCCCGACATGGGTACAATGTGTGAAGCCCATTTCTGGTGTCCCCCGCAGTAATATTGCTGGAATATTGCTAAAAACTTCTAATCGACCAAAGTAAGTTGATATATGTTTATATACGCAAATCCGGTCATATCATATTTGAGTTCGTTTGAAACCTGCACAATCCGGGTTTTGGTCCTGTATTAGGGCTAAGAATCACCTTCACATTGGTCTTTCTCTTATAGTTCTTCTTATCGTTAAGTTATCTGTGGTCACTGGTCATTACACTAACCATATGTCGCACATTGTGTCCAACTGTTTCCCATCTGTTTTTTTAAACCATAATTTGCTTTCCCAAAACATTAGTGAATACGTTTCCTGTTTCAACAAGTCATTGAAGTTGTAATAACTACAGTAAACTACGGTTAAAACGAATTCAAAGGTACCACTAATTTTAGTTCGTAATAACCGTAGTTCGGTATAAGCATATTTACAGCATATATACAACGAATTGTCGGGACTAAAAAATAAGTTCGTTAATTTGTAAGTTCGTTATAAGCGTGTTCGTTATAAGCGTAGTTTACTGTATAGCTCTTACTTCTGTGTGGCTATTTTCTTTCAAAATGGAGGAGAAGGTCAGCATACGCCAACCCATAGAGTTCGTGGTATCAGATGTATTTAGGCCTGTCCGATGGAAATGAATGTTGCTCTTCCTGTCATGATCTGGCACTTTTGACATGCTGAAACAACACATTTACAAGACAATATACATTCATAATGTTAAATATGAGACAAAGTTTCGTTTGTAATATCAAAAATATAACACAACAGATACATTGTTGAATATTGTATTCTAAATGATGTTATCTGTCATAATTGTTCATATGACATTGTTTTCGTGGATCTAGAAATCACACATTAAATTATTATTATCATTTTTGTTAATAAGGGAATAAATCAAAATCCATTCTGGGCACACACGCCTAATGTCGATTGCATTAAGTATATGACATTGTTGACGAAGTACACGATTAACGTGGGATTTAGTGACGTCATATTAGGTGTGACGTCACACTCGCGTATTAAGGTCGTGATAAAACTGTTAGTTCCTTGACAGGTATATCCCTATTGACTAGGGCTGCAACGATACACGAAGGTCACGATACGATACGCATCTCGATATTCTGGTCACGATACGATACGTATCTCGATACGCAATGATAAAAAAAACAATACTTAAAGCATGTAAAAAGGCAGGGCGGGACAACTTAGGAATGGCCAGGAGTCCGAACTTGACCACACAGAAGGAAGCGAGCTACAAAAACATGTTTTATATCATTGGAAAGCTCTCGAGGAGACGAATCCAAATAATGTGTGTCCCAGTGTGTTCACGTGTTCATAAGCTCAAAAATTGGCTCAGAAAATGCATTACTGCAGAAATTTCTGGCCGAATTTTTTTTTTCTGCAGAAATTTCTGGCAGTATTTTTTTTTTCTACAGAAATTTCTTGCCGAATTTTTTTTTTTCTACAGAAATTTCTGGCCGAATTTTTTTCTGCAGTAATATTTAGCAGAATTATTTTAATTCAGGAGAAATAAGATTCAATCATTGGATAGTTTAACCTGGAGTTGCTTCAAATGACCTTTTTCCTCAAAACAAACATTTTTAGTTCACATGATTACAATCTTTGGAAAGTTTAAATTGAATTCAGCAATTGAAGATATCTATCTTGGTATTATATTTACCAAATTTATCAAGAAAAGTTGACGTCACTCGAATTAAACAATGGAACAACATGTTGGCCTCATACCTTTGTATACTAGACAGATGCAAATCATTGAACCTTGAGCTTACCCTATAATTATCTAAATTATTATGAGAATTTCAGTGACCATCTTCAATGGCCTTTTGACGACTTTGGAGTGTACAACATTAAAGGTGAATGTGATTCTCAGAAATTTCTGGCAGTATTTTTTTTTCTACAGAAATTTCTGGCAGAATTATTTTTTTCTACAGAAATTTCTGGCAGAATTTTTTTCTGCAGTAATTTCAACCATCAATCTTTGGAAAGTTTAAATTGAATTCAGCAATTGAAGATATTTATCTTGGTATTATATTTACCAAATTTATCAAGAAAAGTTGACGTCACTCGAATTAAACAATGGAACAACATGTTGGCCTCATACCTTTGTATACTAGACAGATGCAAATCATTGAACCTTGAGCTTACCCTATAATTATCTAAATTATTATGAGAATTTCAGTGACCATCTTCAATGGCCTTTTGACGACTTTGAAGTGTACAACATTAAAGGTGAATGTGATTCTCAAAAAATAAATTTCATAATTATTCCATGGGGCCAACCAAATATATAATCCCCAGTTGGAATTCAAAGAAACAACCTACATGTGATATACGGTACTCTGAAAGTAGGTTAACTTCAGACATGGAAAAAAATAGAACACAACCAAGATTTTACAATATAACTGCATATATTGTTTCATAAATTTAATTGTGCACATCTCATCTTATATATGTATATATATATATACAATTCTAAATACACAGCTTTACTAAGAAACAAAAACATACAAAGTACAAAACTCCTGCAATGCAATCCTCGGCAATATCTCAGCCACATAGCTTAGACAAAAAATATGTTCATTTCAGCAAAACTTGCGGCTCCTTCTTTATTGTTCTGATACTGACGCTTGTCTTCGGTGCTTTGTCAGAGTGATCTGAAAGTAAAGAAAAAAAATGTAAAGAATATGAGAACATAATTAAAATCACAGTGCATCTATACAATAAAAGCAAAAATAGTAACCTCATGAAGTTGGGTTGTTTCTCTGCCCACATTAGACATATTCTAAGTAACGCTGACTAACCCTAATATTACACATCACAATACATATTTCAAAAGAAATGCAATATTTATTGAAATTACCTTTGATTGTTTTTGCAGTTTTTCATTGTTCTTCTCTATTGCCTCTTGAACTTTAGTTGGGAGGGTTGTCGCTTCCCTTGGGGCAGGCATGAAGGGCTTGAAGTCTGATAGCTTGGTGGTGGGTGTCCGGATGTCCCCAATCTTGAAGGAGGGCATCGCGGGTTGTTGCAGGCTTCTGTCTAAGTTCCCTTGCAAATACACTAAACGGTTGATCCACATCTTCATGCGTGTTCCCCACCATGAGAAAGAAAGTTTCACCTGAAAATAGTATTTACATCAGTATTATCACTATGAAAACAAATCAAATTGTACAAAACTTGTTTATTTTTACAGAATACTGATTTGAGTATTGAGAATATTGAGAGAAAAATCAATCTTGTGCATTTAAAAAGTTTCAACATTGTGTGCAGATTCTTTTAAACTTAGGATGAGCAACTGGACATGAAATACTTGCTTCAAAACAATTCTAATGTGGTTTAAAACAATTTACATAAATTATAAAAATATTAACCACATGTGACTTCAGCATTTACTTTGAATTGTATAGTATAGCCTCAAGGAATAAATATGCTATACATGATATTGTATGTGGAGTCATATACCAATAATTTCATTGATAACTATCTTCATGATAGCACTAAAAGTGATACCTTGGATTGCAGCGTCCACTTTTGACTGGCCGACAAAGTCTTGCAGCTTTACTGGTCCTGGAAATGTCAAATAAATATTTGAACAATACATAAATTGCAACTTTAATGTAATTGGATAGTCATACAAACATAACAATTGCCAATTTCCATTCTCAAATATCCACAATTCCTCCAAAATTAGACAAGCCTACCAGACAAACATTGAATTTATTCAACAGGCCCGTACCAAGCATTTAGCTAAGACAAAGATAAATTTCTATCCTTCTAAACGTGTGTTACAAATATAATGTACAAACAAATTTTTGGACATACATGGCACGATCCCATTACAAAACAAATCCCATTACATCCTTTACTAATAATACTGGACAAACTACAATAACGTAACCCATATATGTGCACTGTGGATACTAAGCTCCACTGGTTTCGAAATAAGAATCTACATAACTCCCTACCAATAGGATATGTAGACAGTAATATATGTTTTGGTTTGGTTTGTTGTTTACTGCCGCATTCAGCAATATTCCACCTATATGACAGCGGTCTGTAATTAATCGAATCTGGACCAGACATTTCAGAGATTCATATCATGAGCATCAATGCAAGTCAGCGAGCCTGACCACGCGATACTGTTAGTCTCCTAAGACAAGCATAGAATTCACTGGAAACTGGAAAGGAGGCAACAATGCAGTTTACCGGGCGCAGCCCGAGCTCTACCATCCGCTCAATTACCGCGCTATAGTACCACGCTGTCTCGTTATACCGTTACCGTGCCTCACGCTCTGGTGACTCTCGCTTCACGATCCAACACCCGTTTTCGGTCTTGGGGAAACTTACACGTCTTTACAATCAAACACCCGTTCTCGGTCTTAGGGAAACTTACACATCTTTACGATCAAACACCCGTTCTAGGTTAGAAATCTTTTTTTCATGTAAAGATACAAGGCATATTCCATCGTTCCAGATCTTCCAGAATGAACTTAAGTAGTTTTAGTAAAGCAGTTATTAAATGAACAGCATTTATGAGTGGGTATAAGACAGATTCTATAAATTTTGGTCTTCATGGCATACATTTGGCGCACTTTTTCAGATCCAATTAGCGCTGTTGGGGCTCGAACGCGCTTCGCCCACTCACCGGCTCTGCTAATTAATGCGTTAATTAGCCGACGCTCTACCACTGGACCACAGGCGCTATCACATGTAATCAGTGCTCGTTTAACAGGTCATTAGAATCGCCATTGACATGCATGTGTAATTCAGTAAACAATGAATTGCGCATGCGTGTGACGTCACGGCCCGCTCTCCCATTCATCTTTTCTTGAAACCACACCCGCAATTGTTTATGTCAACATGACCGACCAATAGGATTAACTGAATAAACGCTTGAAAAAGTAAGAATTTATGGCTAACCCTTGCCCAAAGCCAGCTAACCCTAATGACCGAAAAACGGGTGTTGGATCGTAAAGATGTGTAAGTTTCCCTAAGACCGAGAACGGGTGTTTGATTGTAAAGATGTGTAAGTTTCCCCAAGACCGAAAACGGGTGTTGGATCGTGAAGCGAGAGTCACAAGAGCGTGAGGCACGGTAACGGTATAACGAGACAGCGTGGCACTATAGCGCGGTAATTGAGCGGATGGTAGACCTCGGGCTGCGCCCGGTAAACTGCATTGTTGCCCAGAAATTCGAGAAGAAAATTCGCGAAATTCGATATCGACATGTCCTCTCAAAACGAAGAAAGGGTTCTATCACTAGGTCCACGCGAGAGTATGTCTCGTAAACTTGCCTAGCCCTACGCCTACTGTTAGCACCACCGAGTAGACCGAGCCACCCACCAACTCGCACCCTAATTAAGTCATGGCCCTGTGGGCAACGAGGGCAACACTTACCTGGTATACTACGTATGTAACACCAATATAATGCCACGCGAAGCCATATATATATAAAGGCTACACAATCCGCGTATGTTCGCAGAGCCCTGGCTCTTCCGCTCTTCCTTTCCTAGCTCATGTTGACATTTTGATAAAAAAAAAACATGCACCGTGCTTTGATTCCGAAACGAAATTTAAATTGGCAACACAGTCGGTGGTGGTAAAAAAAACCAGCGCAACGAAGCCGATTGAGTACCTCACCCCTACATTCGCCGTACCAGTTTATTTTCGCGTTCGTAGCTAAACTCTACCTAATAGTGCCGATGCAATAAATGAACTATAGTTAACGACATTGCACATAAGCATTACTTACCAATTTCAGTGTTTTTCCTTTTGGGCAGATTTCTTGAAGAAAGATGTCTGCCTTGACTGTTGATGACGTTGGTAAGATCTGTAATAGGGTAGCAACATGTTCAGTGAATATGTTCATAAAGAAACCATGATCCAAACAGAAGGCAAAGGTTCTTCAAGATATATACAGTGTTTGGTGTACAAAAATAGAATAAAATGCCTTACCCATGTCAACGTTGTTGAAGCAGAGCTGGTGAACCCTCCTCAAGGCATCCAGAGCTTCTCACTGCGACCAGAACTTGGGTTTTCGATGTGATTTACCGACTTGTTGAATAGTTATCGTTTGATCGTCTGACAGAACGTTCTCGACGATTTAACGATATTTAACGATACCTGATTAGGGTTAAATCTATATATACCATTTTTATGGTCGGGCGTCCACGGCTGATTGGTATATCAAATCAAACACAAGGGTGTATATCATGCCCCTGAGTGTTCACGCATCACTGGGTGGTCACGTAATAAGGTGTGGCACCAGCATCTCGGGTTACAATTTGATATTAATTCAAGTACTCCACTGATAATGTACATAGGTAGTTAACTTAATTACATTCAGTTTTGTCCGACAAGGAGCGAGTTTACTTTTTTTTAGACACAGACTTTGTAACAGGCTCTTCCCCTGGAAACACATATATTGTAAATAAATATTTTGCCATTTCCATCAACCTTATCACGTGATGTTCTATAACTGTTGTCTTGTACACTATCCATAGTGTAAGTCAGCTGGCTCGAGGAATTTTCATATAGTATTATCATTAAACAACATACCCTATGCAACAGTTATGTTGCTACCCAGACAAAACTATTTTTTATATTCTATGTTAAATGTAAACGATCAGTTTTTATTATAAATACAAAACCACCTTTTAAGCGGTAATACCTATCACGCATTAAACAACATATATGAACAACCATGTGATTATAAAGACTCACGTTGGTTCCTCCGTGCAACTTCATGCCTGACTTACATTCATATTGTTCTTTCACCACACTTACGCTTCTCCAAATTTAGAAAGAAGCTGTGTACACAGCGTTCTTGCAAGTTACAATAACGCGTCCGGTTTGGCGGCAACTTCAAAGAGTGGACATATGGTTGCTCCTTCAGGTAGCTATAATTACCCTCTCTATAATGCAATATCGTATTATCCATTTGTAATGAATGATAGTAACACTAAATCGGATTGGATTCAGTTAAATCTACATTTCTCAAGGTCTCTAACATCGAGATTTGAAATATCTTTCATGTAAATACCTTTGTCACGTGACTTATATATTCGTGTATATTCAGAATCTTACCTACGCACAATGTCTTTGCACAATGGCACAAGCAACGTGGTCTCTTTCTGTAAAACATAGCACTCTTTATTTCAGCCACAGCAAAGATCCCGAACCACGTGCAGTCAGCAGAGTTACAGCGTCTGGTTACCGTCTTGCAGTTACGATACATGTAAGACGTCAAAATATTTATTGTTTTATTTCTGGAAACGCCGACCCTAGAACGTGGAATTTTGGTAACACGGTTATTTCATATAACAACAACCAAATAACAACCCGTACTCCAAACAGTGAATGTTTGGCTCTGCTGCCATGCGAAACGCGTTTTGTAAGAGTCTAATTTTAGTGTATTTATTTCTACCACTTTTGATAAAAAAAATACGCAAAAGGAGATATCTCCATCCCCTATGGTGTTATTGCGACTTGTATACTGTCTACATGTACATTGGGCAACTTATTGTAGCTGTATGGCGACACTTGTAGTGTAGCTATGTTACCATGAATTTGCCTGTGGTGATCAGTGAAAGTGAAAACACGGAAAATTACAAAATACCAATCCATGCAGTATTTTGATAATTTACATGCGAGTTTTCTATTATTTATAACGTTAGAAATATTTAGATATAAATAACTTTATAGACCCAATGTTTATTAATATAACAAATTGTTGTATTAATGTTTTCCTAAAATAAACATATATATCATCTTCTCTTATTGCCCCATCAAAGCTGGTGCTGAGACAATTTAGAATACCCAAACGACGCTTATTTTTACGTGCCGTGCCGCCAGACTTCCTGCCAACTTGGCAATTAAATATCCTCGGGTATTGTCACTGCATACGGTGATACATTGTCTCGCGCACGTGGTCGGTTGGTATTGTCTATCAGCGCCACGATCACGTGATCGTTTTGTTAATTACTCTGTGTTACGGTCTCGCCGATCCTAAACTTTCAAAGCCTTCAATAAAATTTATGAGATCATTATCTTATCTTTATTCCGACTGAATCCACCTTCAGACGCCCCCTCACACACACTCCCAATGCAAATTCACTGAGGCTTGACCGTTACCAATTAACAGCAGCTGTCAATTAAACAGTTCGCATCTAAGTAGTATGTTATCGAATATATTGATAACCTTAAGCGTGCTACTTGGGGGGGGGGGGGGGGTTGTGGGGGGGGGGGGGGGGGGGGGGTTGTAAAAGGAGGGTGTTGGTTGTTCACAGGGACACTCGACAATCACAAAAAGTATACGGGTATTTCAATAATTGTATGATATATTTAGTACTTGGGCAGCCCCAATCTAAAAACAACAATAAAATCCTAACTCTCACCGACTCTTTTAGTGGACTGAAAGCCCTCCAAAACAAAAATACCAAAAAACGACCTAAATTAATAAACCAAATACTTAAAAGCTCCGACGACCTAAAAAAAGCAGGCAAACAAATAACCTTCTTGTGGATCCCCGCCCACGTAGGAATTTACGGCAACGAAAGCGCCGATAAAGCAGCTACATTATCTCTCAAAATACCAGTAATAAGCCTAAACCTACCCATCTCAAAATCAGAAATTAAAAGTGTAAACAATCAAAAAATAACCAAAAAATGGCATAATCAATATCAAAACTCAAATAGCCAAATCAAAAAAAGTGCTCAGAAAACCACTAGCCAAACCTGAAATCCTACACCTCTCTAAAAAAATTGACAGATTTATTACAAAACTCGAAACAGGACACACGAACCTAAATAACCACCTAAAAAAACTTAAAAGACACATCACAGGCAACTGCCCCCACTGCAAACAACCCGAAACCACGGAACACGCACTCATCCACTGCACCCACTACCAAACACACAGAACCACACTACAAACCACCCTCAATCTAAATAAGGTTCCTACTCTAGATGAAATACTAAACCCTCAAAATAAACTAGAAAACTTCAAGGCCCTAGGCGTATTCCTAATCAAAACAGACCTAATTAAGCGCATCTAAAAACTAATTAATCTACCAATCCAAAATCCAATAAACATACAAACACCCACCTCACCCGGCTCCCTTAGTCCCTCCTCCACCCACCTCGGCATTTATTCCAAATTTAAAAATTCCAGAAACTTCAATATAAGCAACCCCTAAAAGCCCCCTCTTGGGTTGCACACATCACTTTCACCCTTTTCGGAATACAATAAATGGTCCGGCCAGGCCCGTATGCGAAATACGCTACAGTCGGAAAGCGCACGTTAAATCTCCTATATCAGTCAGTCAGACCCCAGTGTTTCATATCATTTTCCCACCAAACTAAAAAAGAATACCCCCCAACTGGATATGTCAAGCGAACTAATTTTCGTTTCGTCTGTCGATTCATATTTTGGAAATTCAAGGGGAACCACTCCGGCTTATGCAGCACACACATTTGGGAAGGTTGCTTCAATAATAATAATACTTCTTACCATGGTTTCACAGTCGTTCGGAACTTTTTTAAGATCTGACACCAGATTATGCTGTCCGAAAATTTATCTATTTTTTTTAGTGGAGACAGGCCTATCGGAAATTCGAACTTGAACAGCAACGCCAAAACCACATTCCGCCGCAGTGACCAGCTGCTGATGACATAGACTAGGCTAGCTTTACACTAAGTCTTGTACCAGGCTGGCCCCTCTGGATAGTAGGTCTGGTCTCTCCTTTGTCCTTGGACCCCCTTTCCGATCATAAGGGTTGAGTACCCCTTGCCAATGAAACACGTGTTAACCATCCTTTTACTTTAGAGCACCCATTTACGACACATGGGGTTAGTTTTGAGTTCGGTTATGGTTTAGAAGTCTCTTGATATAAACATATTTATTTCCATAAAGTGGAGGGATTGGCAAACAAGCAAATTTTGCTTATCTGAATGCCTCTCCCAAACATGATACATAAGTCTCTTTTAACGAATTAATCCAATTTAATTTTCGCAGTATACTCATCCTTATATAATTTCAGCTTCATGACAGTGTGAACATTGAGTGCCCCCTACACAAGTATGCAGTCACTGACAACTGATGGAGTGACCTATACAAAACGGAAGATGCAGACGACTAGTACAAGCACGCACGCACACACACACTCACACGCACGCACGCACATGCTATATAAGTGCAATTATCTTGGACGCGACATTCAACCCAATTTCAACTCACCTCACTTATCTTACTTTGTTCATGTGCCTAAAGCTTGTGGAATGTGTTAATTACTGAAATGAAAAGCATTTTAATGTTTTTTTTCATATCTTTTCAGAATATGTGCACATAGCTTTCAATGACCAGACGAAAAAAAGAATTCATTTCAAGTATGTTGAGAAGAAAACGTAAGTAAAGCACACTATTTACATTCATAATACATTTTATTCCGCAGGCTCTATTGTAAAGTTAAACTCTAGCTGCGTATAGGCTGCCATTATCCATTATATTAGACAATATGGATCCACTCATCTATACATCTATTTTCTTTTGTGACAGGACCCATCTCTGAAAAAATCACCTCACCCAAGAAAATACGACTCATTCATGAGAATGAAAGTGCAAAGTCTCCCAAGAAATTGTCTTGTAATATAGCATGTGAATAAACAATTTTTTGAAATATCTCACGAAATTAGTTTTATTTTATTGCTTGTAATCATGTGAACTAAAAATGTTTGTTTTGAAGAGAAGGTCATTTGAAGCAACTCCAGGTTAAACTATCCAATGATTGAATCTTATTTCTCCTGAATTAAAATAATTCTGCTAAATATTACTGCAGAAAAAAATTCGGCCAGAAATTTCTGTAGAAAAAAAAAAATTCGGCCAGAAATTTCTGTAGAAAAAAAAAATACTGCCAGAAATTTCTGCAGAAAAAAAAAATTCGGCCAGAAATTTCTGCAGTAATGCATTTTCAGAGCCAATTTTTGAGCTTATGAACACGTGAACACACTGGGACACACATTATTTGGATTCGTCTCCTCGAGAGCTTTCCAGTGATATAAAACATGTTTTTGTAGCTCGCTTCCTTCTGTGTGGTCAAGTTCGGACTCCCGGCCATTCCTAAGTTGTCCCGCCCTGCCTTTAAAGATTGAACCTTTCATGATTTTGGAACAGTCAAAATTATTTTTTATAATAACAAGACTACTGAAGTTGTTCAACTCTCCTTCAAAACAATTCAAAGTTCAAACACCAGAAAATAATTAATGTACTCCACCAGTGATACAACTTCAAAGAATTTTGATGCAATGGTCGAAGAAATTGTATCTGAAATTATTGTTTTATCAGGAATAATTTATTCCAATATCGTGTTACCTTAGTTGCAGCTTTTACTATATAATTATATATTTATAATTATAAGAACCACAAGTGTAGCATTTTGGTACTGATGATTGCTGTTGCAGGATGTTTTTACGTATGGAACAATATATTAGTCAAATTGCCACAAATATGACTTTTAACGAGTCAAAGTATGACATTTTTAATATATGTATCCATTCTCGGGCAACTATAGTTCGTTCAATGCGTCAAAAGCGGTAATCTGACCGTGGTTGCTGTATCTCTTCACACACGATTTCACATAACTTAATGAAAACAATATTAAATGAAATTTTGAATAAAATTAATCAAATATATTACAAACACAAGTCCAGATATACAGTGAACACGTTTTAATAACAAGATAGAATAATAATGGTATTGAATTGCGTACTTCAGTTCGGATTTGCTGACTGGTATTTTCGGTGTTATGTGCTTGCGGTGATCAGCTGATAATGTTTTATGAGATGGGGAAAACCATCTGTCGGTGTAAAACCTGAGCTTATTAAAAATGTAAGTACGTTTTGGGAGCCATGCGTTAGCGCGCGCTATAACCAAGTTAGCGGTTTATTGAAAGGCACAATACCGAGGAAACGCTGTACTTGAGATTTGCGTTTCGTATCGTGGCGTATCGATAAATGGGCCCACGTTTATCGTATTGCGTATCGTGGGTCAAGTATCGCGATGCATCGGAATATCGGTGTATCGTTTCACCCTTACTATGGACGACGCAGCTTATTATCTACTGTCAAGAAGCAGCCATTCCTTTCGTCAATTCAGTTTCGCTCATATATATTTTTCCCATAGTGGTCGTAAAGTCAAGTTATTTTTTAAATTTAATGATTCGTAAAGCTGATTGACCAGTGGAAGTAATATCACGTTGCTGCATTGATTACGAATTGATCACGTTATATATATCATCAGAACAACATTGATTACAGCTGCTTTTATAGTTTTATAATCCTACATTTTTCTTTCACATGTTCTTTCTGAAAATGATGATAATTACTTTATTCACTTCAGGCAAAAAAGAAAATATACACTCATGTTCGATGGTGGCTAAAGGGAACCATACAAGAAATGGTTATTCGATTGCAATATGTTTGATACTGGTATGGTAGTTATGTTTTGGTCCTCTGTTTCGGTAAGTGTTGTCTGCCTTGTAACGTTTTGATAACGTTTGTAATTTGTGGGTCAAATCCAGTTTTTAAGTGTATACTTTCATTTGCCCAGAAGTTTAGAATAACACTCACGGATGTTGAGTTTGATCTCGTGTCTGAATGTTGAAAGTCCTTCGCCAAAGGGATTTACACTAAATGAATAATCAGTAGCTCGTTGGCAGTCTATGATCAATAGCCACAATTCGTATTGTGAAATATTTTACAAAATGTTCTATTGACCCTCACTCTTTCATGTTTCTTTGAGACCCACACAACCGATACTGTCAAATTAATAATCCGTCCAATAAATAACCTTCAAAACAATCATTTCTGTGTGCAATCATGGACTGGGTATGGAAATAACTTTGCTGAGCATGTTTGCCTAAAAATAGATACTACCTCGTGAATGTGCAGCGATCTTTACATTTACCTGGGCCCATTTCCGAATGTTGCACTACAGTCGATATGTGTAGCACTACGATCGCACGATCGGTTTGTGTAACGGGTCCCAGTCAAGTAAGTCTAAGGATCATAGGTCTTTGATTCGGCTGCTCTTAAGATGGTCCACCAGTACCGGACAAAACATGTTTTGTGTGTTTGTTTGTTGTTTAACGTCGCACTCAGAAAACGTAAATAATCGAGTCTGGCCAGTCAATACAGTGACTGACATTATGAGCATCGGTCTACGCGGTCCACCCGATCCCGTTTGTCGCCTCTTACGGCAAACATGGGTTGCAGAAGGCCTAGTCTCTACCGGATCTTAACGGATCTTTACAAAACATGTAGAATAAACATGAAACTTATAATAACAGTTATCTCCTATTTTTTTAACCAGCGGTTCGCAAAGATCGTATATGAACAAGGAGAACTTCATAGATTAAGAATTTAAATCGGCGAGTGCGGTATATTTTCATGTTGACAAAAACAAAACAAAAAAAGGATAGATATAAGCGTCCCTTAAAGAACAATGCCAATACCTGGGATCATATGAGTGGACCTGGCAGCCGTATGTTGCAGCCACTGCGTCGTCGAAACTCCAGTCGTAGTTGATCCTGAAGTATGTATGGTACGACAAATTGAACTAATAAGTGAGTGAGTAAGTTGGGTTTAACGTCGCTTTGAACAATACTCCGGTGAAATCACGGCGTGTCAGCTTAATGTGGGAGGAAAGCCCGAAGTGATGCAGGTCACAGACGTTTACCACTTCGGTGAAACCCACGAGCACGGGTATGGTGCTGACAAACCTAGAAATACAATCGGGGCAAATCGGGAATCGAACCAACGATCACAAGTTTCTGGCGTGCCAAAGGGACGCTACACTGCAAAGCGAACCGCGGCGCCTAACACGACTTGGCCACCCCTGCCCCCTCAACTGAAGGAGACATTTGTCACATGTAGTGATTTATGAATTCGTTCGACGAGTAATCAAAGTGGTAACCACTCATGTGACATGGACAGAATATCTTGGGACAATGTGGTTAGACTTGATCCAATGTATCAATGTACCCTGGGATTAAAAAAGGGCATTCGGATTGAGGAGCGAGCTCTCAAAGCCACCCTGTCCTAGCCCTACGTACATTGCATTATTATACATATGATACATTGCTGATAGTGTCAGAATATTGTTGTTTATTCAATTAAATTGATTATAGTTTAGCAAGATATCGATGCCAATGAATTACTGATATAACTATTCATCAATTGATTGCCACCGGACAATTTCGCTGAATGTAATGCCAGTATCTGGAAAGACTCGACCAGACCTACCCAAAGGAGTAAATATTGCAGGGTGTCTTGATTTCGTAGGGAGGGTCTTCACAAACGTTCCAGCCACCGTCGCCGACGTTGCCACGCCTGGCCACCTTCTTGCATGACATCTGAACGCTGTTCACATAGCTGAAACCACACACATTAAACTCTTTACTGTTGTTTAAACCTTAACTAAATGTCAAGTGAAATCCTTTCAGCCCGACAACTCTTTCCCTGGGAACATCTTCACTTCTACTCAGGATCTTGATCGGTACCCAAAATCCGTTAATCCGGATACGTGTTAATTAGGAAAAGTTCACTGTAAACGGTGATGTCCGGATTAACGTAGTGTCACTGTAGTCGGGCAGGATTGCAGCATTAAAGGGATAACGGGACAGACTGTTTGGGGGTTGCCTTTTATAGACAGACTTCTTCATCATTACCCATTTGAATGCGGGAAATCATATATATAGAAAAGCATTGAGTGCTTGGATCAAATGATCAAAATGCAGGTATTGAATATAGCATCCGTGGTTTAGTGGTAGAGCGTCCGCCCGGAGAGCGGAAGGTACGGGGTTCGATCCTCGGCCGCGTCACTCCAAAAGATGTCAGCTTATTTGATCATAGTTTAAGAAACTGTCAGTACTCGTACACTTTGAGCCTACAGGGACATTGCGAGCACGGGTTCACACTTGTTAAAGTGAGCATTGACATCGAACGGTGATATTGTTTATGAACGCATCAATCAGAGATAGTCGACCTCGCAAAACGGTCACAGGGAACTAGACTCAGGCAAATTGGCAGTCCCAACAGTCCTTCAAACACCACCTTGTCTGTCAACTTTTTAAAACTTTAAAATGTAAATTAATCCCTTAATTACCTAGAGGCCGTGTGTGCGTATCACATAGGACATCAGATACATGTATACAGCTAGACTGAAAACGGACTACATACCCTGGAATGTTGTCGTTCCTTCACCATATGATCATTGGAAGTTTGTGACAGTGAGTGAGTGAGTTTGGTTTAACGCCGCGTTGTACAGTATTTCAGTTATATCACTGCTTGTCACCTCCATGGGAAAGGAAAGTGATGCAAGTCTTAGACGTTTCGCGTTTATGAAACCCACGAGCAAACATATGGCGTTGACAAACAGACACATGATCAGGGCGAACCGGGATTTGAACGCATGATCAAAGATGTTTGGATTGCCCAAGGGACGCAACTCTGCAGAGCGAATTGCGGCAGTTTAGACGACTGGGCGGAATTGTGATAAGGTGAGCTGCGACAGCTGTCCTACCGTAAACCTTGCAAAAGTTCAATAACCCATTGCCACAAAACATGATCTAACAAAGCTCATTCGATATTTCAGCATAACACAAAACGTATGTTAATTTGGGAAGAAAAACCCAATGTGATGCCACATGTACCATGGTCCGTGGCCACGTACACACAAGATTCTCCTTGTGAAGAACGCTCGACTATTTCATACATGTACAAGCTGCTGTTGTCGGTGATGCTTATATACAGCTAGATAAGATGTAAGCTCTTACCTTGGGTCAACATGAAGTGTTTATATATGATTTAAGTAAAATAAATAGATGTTTGGTTGAAGTATGTTTGTCCTTCCGCGAAATGGTCAAACATTCTCGCTGCACCTGTATTTCTATGACTTCCTGGTAATCAACATTTACTCCTATGGTTACCATTTGTTCTTACTTGTGGTATATCTGTGACAGCTGTTCTCTGTTCAACGTCTTCAACACCTCCAACGTGGGCATGGGTTGGCCCCCCGGTAAGGGATTCTATAATATGAAAAAAAAGATGGCGAAAAGAGCGGACTACATGTTTATTATTCAATTATCAATAGAATAGGGATCAGTGATTTTCATCAGCGTGCAAGAGATGCCAATCATAAACACACACGCCAATGAGCAACGTGTGTGTGTGTGTGTGTGTGTGTGTGTTTGTGGGGGACCACCCGATCCAGTTAGTCGCCTCTCTTACGACCTAGTCTAACCCGGATCTTCAAGAGTGATTTTTAGTTTGATTGATACTATCATGGCTGAAATACTTACAGCTATCACTGGTGCGATCCTTGCTGAATCATCAGACTTCCTTGCGTTATATTCCTGATATGTCAATTTGAAGGTTACAAACATTATAAACGTCCCCAGCAACACAAAGACGAGGAAGGGAAACCCAAGACTCTTCCTCGGCATCGTGTAGGTTTAGTTTCCAAGTAAGGTCCACTCTATTCAAGTAAGGTCAACTCTATCCAAGTAAGTTCCACTCTATCCAATTAAAGTCCACTCTATCCAAGTAAGGTCCACTCTATCCAAGTAAAGTCCACTCTATCCAATTAAAGTCCACTCTATCCAAGTAAGGTCCACTCTATCCAAGTAAAGTCCACTCTATCCAAGTAAGGTCCGCTCTATCCAAGTAAGGTCCACTCTATCCAAGTGATATCCACTCTATCCAAGTAAGGTCCACTCTATCCAAGTAAGGTCCACTCTATCCAAGTAAGGTTCACTCTATCCAAATAAGGTCCACTCTATCCAATTAAAGTCCACTCTATCCAAGTAAGGTCCACTCTATCCAAGTAAAGTCCACTCTATCCAAGTAAGGTCCACTCTATCCAAGTAAGGTCCACTCTATCCAAGTGATATCCACTCTATCCAAGTAAGGTTCACTCTGTCCAAGTAAAGTCCACTCTATCCAATTAAAGTCCACTCTATCCAAGTAAGGTCCACTCTATCCAAGTAAAGTCCACTCTATCCAAGTAAGGTCCGCTCTATCCAAGTAAGGTCCACTCTATCCAAGTGATATCCACTCTATCCAAGTAAGGTCCACTCTATCCAAGTAAGGTCCACTCTATCCAAGTAAGGTTCACTCTATCCAAATAAGGTCCACTCTATCCAATTAAAGTCCACTCTATCCAAGTAAGGTCCACTCTATCCAAGTAAAGTCCACTCTATCCAAGTAAGGTCCACTCTATCCAAGTAAGGTCCACTCTATCCAAGTGATATCCACTCTATCCAAGTAAGGTTCACTCTGTCCAAGTAAAGTCCACTCTATCCAAGTAAGGTCCACTCTATCCAAGTGATGACCACTCCATCCAAGTAAGGTCCACTCTATCCAAGTAAGGTCCACTCACTGCAGCACGAAACGTGGATCTGTGATACATCCAAGCTATAATTATTTTCAAACATTAAAACAATTCACGACAGACCATTATAAAAAAAGTAATGTTATTGTTTTTTGGTTAATGGGAATTTGGGGTAAGTGGTTGAGGTATATTCTGGCATTTGGTGCCTTGGGTGGGATTTGCATCGTGACTAGTATTAAAACATGTCGTTGTTTACTTATCAAATGACATATATGCTTCCAATATTTACTAAATAATGATAGTATTTACCCGAAGGACTGTTTACAGCCGCGTTCGACCCAACTCACGTATGGTGTACTAATGTTTACTAGATATACTTACCAGAAAGTTCGTATGATTGTCTTTTACGGCACCAAGCACAGGACCTTCAAGTAAGAAGCTGACAAATACGAATTGCCTTCCCTTAGAACGACGCCTGTCACAAATGCAGAGTACGACAGAGTATATTAAATTGGTTATTGTGGTTACCAGATCGGTCGACAACCAGACAAAGGTTTTGAAATAAATGTATATTTCAACCGAAGTGACAGCTGCGCTAAACATGGTAGATAGATGAAGGGATATAGTGGCCTGGGATCAAATACAGCCACATGAGACACAGTAAGTGCATTGCTATGCAAACAAACGTACATACATCAACGTCATTAACAGATAACCTAAGTACTTGTACTTCACTTCATGGGTAAAATTAGGTGACTTGGGTGGAGTTCTGCATTATTATATTATGTATGATTTTTGCATTATTATAAATAGATCTCACTGGGTGGCTGAACATGTTATGACTGTTTAATATATTATGAGAGTCCTCTCTGGATGCTCATTTATACATGTAATGCTCTGTTGTACATTTTCATCGTCTATGTGTTTTGTATGGAATAATGATGGTGCCCACTGGATGGCTGAACATTTGATGACTGTGTAATATGTTATTATTATTAATTGAAGAGTCCTCTCGTGATGTTCATTTATACATGTAATGCTCTGTTGTACATTTTCATCGTCTATGTGTTTTGTATGGAATAATGATGGTGCCCACTGGATGGCTGAACATTTTTATGACTGTGTAATATGTTATTATTATTAATTAAAGAGTCCTCTCGTGATGTTCATTTATACATGTAATAGCTCTGTTGTACATTTTCATCGTCTATGTGTTTTGTATGGAACAATGATGGTGCCCACTGGATGGCTGAACATTTTATGACTGTGTAATATGTTATTATTATTAATTGAAGAGTCCTCTCGTGATGTTCATTTATACATGTAATGCTCTGTTGTACATTTTCATCTTCTGTGTGTTTTGTATGGAATAATGTTGGTGCCCACTGGATGGCTGAACATTTTTATGACTGTGTAATATGTTATTATTATTATTAATTGAAGAGTCCTCTCGTGATGTTCATTTATACATGTAATGCTCTGTTGTACATTTTCATCGTCTATGTGTTTTGTATGGAATAATGATGGTGCCCACTGGATGGCTGAACATTTTATGACTGTGTAATATGTTATTATTATTAATTGAAGAGTCCTCTCGTGATGTTCATTTATACATGTAATGCTCTGTTGTACATTTTCATCGTCTATGTGTTTTGTATGGAATTATGATGGTGCCCACTGGATGGCTGAACATTTTTATGACTGTGTAATATGTTATTATTATTATTAATTGAAGAGTCCTCTCGTGATGTTCATTTATACATGTAATGCTCTGTTGTACATTTTCATCGTCTATGTGTTTTGTATGAAATAATGTTGGTGCCCACTGGATGGCTGAACATTTTTATGACTGTGTAATATGTTATTATTATTATTAATTGAAGAGTCCTCTCGTGATGTTCATTTATACATGTAATGCTCTGTTGTACATTTTCATCGTCTATGTGTTTTGTATGGAATAATGATGGTGCCCACTGGATGGCTGAGCATTTTATGACTGTGTAATATGTTATTATTATTAATTGAAGAGTCCTCTCGTGATGTTCATTTATACATGTAATGCTCTGTTGTACATTTTCATCGTCTATGTGTTTTGTATGGAATAATGATGGTGCCCACTGGATGGCTGAACATTTTTATGACTGTGTAATATGTTATTATTATTAATTGAAGAGTCCTCTCGTGATGTTCATTTATACATGTAATGCTCTGTTCTACATTTTCATCGTCTATGTGTTTTGTATGGAATAATGATGGTGCCCACTGGATGGCTGAACATTTTTATGACTGTGTAATATGTTATTATTATTAATTGAAGAGTCCTCTCGTGATGTTCATTTATACATGTAATAGCTCTGTTGTACATTTTCATCGTCTATGTGTTTTGTATGGAACAATGATGGTGCCCACTGGATGGCTGAACATTTTATGACTGTGTAATATGTTATTATTATTAATTGAAGAGTCCTCTCGTGATGTTCATTTATACATGTAATGCTCTGTTGTACATTTTCATCGTCTATGTGTTTTGTATGGAATAATGATGGTGCCCACTGGATGGCTGAACATTTTTATGACTGTGTAATATGTTATTATTATTAATTGAAGAGTCCTCTCGTGATGTTCATTTATACATGTAATGCTCTGTTGTACATTTTCATCTTCTGTGTGCTTTGTATGGAACAATGATGATGCTCACTGGATGGCTGAACAGTGCATGGCTGCTTCATTTCAATGCTATATTGCAATGAATGTTCCGTATAATTCGTATGACTGAGAAAACATTTTGTGTGTCTCATAAGCCCGTATTTTAACACATGTGTCAAATGAAATAAAATTGTAGTGTGTGACACACTAATAAGTTTCTTCTTCTTCATATTTAGACGGCCTTATCTATAGTCAAATAATGTTCTTGACACTTTGAATTTTGAATTCTTCAACAAACACTTCTCAGCCTGGACTTGTTGAACTATGCATTGTCAAGCTCAGTTGCAGGTCACAATATGTATAAATAGTTACAACTGTGGCAGAATGGAGGTACAAAACCAAGGTTGTAGATCCAACTTTTAATAATATTGATATGTCTAGAACATTATTTAATGCGTGCATTCGTCTACATGTAGATTATCCCTTCGTGCAACACGAGACGAAATAACATAAATGCATTGAGGTCTTTAAGGAAATTATTAGTTGAGCGAATATACCATTGTAGACACTATTTATCCCTTCAACACCCACCCGACAGAGTGGTACCCAATCCATGTTCGCCGTTGCTGGCTTGTGTGTTACGTAGTTTGTTCTAATACTACAACGAGATTTGTCATGTGTTTAAAGAAAGTTGGGACAGAAAACAGGAGGACTAATACGTTGCGAATACCATTTTACGTTTACGTCAGTAGTAATCTATAGCTACTTATCTCACAACAAAAGGCAATACGTATAACAATAAACAGTATTATAACTGTGGGTTAACAGGAACAGTTAAATACGTTGACATTGTTAACAGTAAAACCTCGTTAGCCTGAACTTTACAAATTCGACATATCGTTTAAAGCGATGTAACATTACGGACCGGGCATTGTAGTATGATCTCGGCACTCTTTTAACTCGAAATAAGGATAACTCGAAAAATACTCACACACAATAAAAACGCATAGTCAACTTCAACTCTCCTGACAAAATGTCACTGTGAAATATTGTCACTGTGTTTGTAAATAATGTCACTGTGTTCGTGAATAACATAGTTTTGTTTGATTATCTCTTGCCTAAATACACAGAACAACATGCCGACGCGACGTTAAATTTTAACGCACCCACCCACAGAACAACTTAATTTGATTTTTGTGGCCAGGATGTCAAATATTGAGAGAAAATATGAACATGCTTTTCCAATGTGTTTCAGTGTGCTTTCAATGAAGTGTAACTGGAGGTCATTTGCGATTTTTCAAATGAGACATGAAAGAACTGTGATCAGAAATATCAGCTGACTGTTGTTATAACAGGTGTAACCCTAAACTGTATTAGAAGTATGAGACCGAGCATTGGTATTCGTATGAGAGTCCTCGGTATACTTCCAGTCTAAAAAAACGCAATATAGACGTATAAAGTTTGTTCGTTGTTTAACGCCACACTCAGCAATATTCCAGCTGTGTGGCGTGTAAATTATCGTTTCGAGACCAGACAATGACACGCAATCTACCGAGACCGACCACCCGATTCATTTGGGTGCTCCTTACGGTGAGGTTAAATGGGGTTTAACGTCGCGTCCAAGATTATTGCGCTTACAAACTACAACGCAAAAGTTTGTTATGGTGTTCTACAGTAAAATTGCGAATAATCTGCGGATAAGTTGCAAATAATTGCGAACAATTCGCGAATAATTTGCGGATATCTGCCGATGTCTGCGAAAACTATTTTATAGCTTTATGGCACTAATTAGGAGTTTTATGAGATTGTCACGTCGTCAACGCGTGGCGGGTCATGGCAATAGTCTTCGTACATACAATGTATACTTTGAAAATACAATCCGTATTGAAAGAGTGTGTATGAAATTTCTGAAAAATTGCAGCTGGTCTTTATTACTCAACACCGAATTTTATAGCCAATGGTGATTTGGGGAAAAAACACTGTGTATTAAAATGTATAAACGCATTACCATATTTGGGCATGAAATTGCAACATATAAGGACATACCCAAATTAATAGATATTTATACCAGTCCCTAAGTAAGCTAAGAATGGCCCAAAATGGCCAAATGTGTACAAATTAAGAAAATGTTCTCATCTAAGAAAGCAAAAAAGTTAAGTGATATTTCTAATCTTTTTAATGTGCTGTTTACGCATGCTGCCATTGAAACATATTGCCCATCCAGTACATGTCATCTTGCTTGTATTACTTAATAAATGTATATATGTTTGTTCTTGTACCTCTGTTAGTGGGTTTTCCAGTAATAAATTGATTATTGAATAACTTGAAACGGGTGATCAGCATCAGCAAAATTATTGTTTTAATTTTTGAGGCGAGAAATGTATTGCGTTATAAGAGGTTTCATAGACGACATATTAGTCTACATTCAGCCTTGAAAACCCAAATCAATCCCCTTGGCTTGGCTTTCTGTGAAATTACGTTTGGCATTTTGCCTGGTGTCACTACAGATGTTACGCAATTAATATATACTCTTAAAAAAAAACTGTCAAAATGTAATATAATGCGACAGTTTCAAAATAGGACACAGAAACCATAATTAAAACACTGTTTGAAGATCAATGTACACAATGTTCAAAACATTAATTGTGTCACCTAGACAGACACACGTACACGATACAGTAAATGTCACAGGGGTACAGAAAATGTCAGTATCGGTTGTGCCCACCACGTGCATCAATCACCGCTTGACACCGACGACCCATAGATGCAATCAAGTTGTCAATAACACGCTGTTGAATGTGCTGCCATTCATGCTGAAGTGCCTCAAGAAGCGCCGGAAGTGTTTGGGACGGTGGATTCCTT